CTTCAACCAAGTCGAAAACCAACCCTTTAAATACATTTTCGAGTAGTACGGTTTAATTTATTAGACTATTTCAAATGTTTGCTTCCAACTTCTTAAATTCGATCCATTTGTTAACGAAACAACTGTTGGTGAAGTGATTGTTGACAAAATGAATCAATGTTTTATGTTAACGTTTATTTTTACGTTATCAATTTCACGATTTTGATTTGTCGATCAACAATTGCGTGGGTTAAAATTTTGTGTTATGAGACAGTCTCCCCTGTTATATGTAATAAATGATTGAATCAAGATTAAATCGTGTATTTTTGTTATTGTAATGCTATGAAACACTCGGCGCAGTGATATTTTTATTTTTCGACCATCTTGTATAACGTTGTATAATAATAAATGATTTCATGGTTTGAATGTGCTCATCCTCTGTAAACTTGATTGCTTGAAGATGGACAGGGACGTCGTAGAAAGTTGAGTTCCGTGCGCTGAAATGGCTTGAGAGGAATTTCTCTACAAAAAAAACGAAAAAAAAATGTGGGGACGGCCGTCCTATTTTGTATTTTTTTGAATTGATAAAATAGACTATTATTGTCTTGACCTGAGTGATGTCATTGTGTGAGTAAAAGACACGAAGCTCGCTGTCACGTTTTCGTTTAAAAACTTGTTTTCTGTGTTAACAAAACATTTGCCGTACGACACAATTTTTTGCTAAATATGGTGAAAACGTTGATCGCGCCAAAAACCGAAAAGACCAGGCGCGGCTAGACGCAAAAGGGGACAATCGGTGAGAAAACTGCACAGAAGTCGCACGACTTGCGAGTTTTGGTTACTTGTGTTAATTAATAATAATAATTAATGACAAACTTTAAACCATTATAACTTTTCATTTCAATAAAATTTAAAAAAACTCTTTATTGCATCTTTCCTTATGTCTTATAGAAGAATAAAACTATAGAGTTTTTTTTTTATCTTGCATGGTCATTGAACTTATACATTTTAAAGTTTAGCCAAAATTTTTGATGTCGACACCATAACAATAATAGCACTAATACCAGTAGTAATGATGAAGGTAACAGCAAAATAATGATGAAATACCAGTAAAAAAAAATTAAATCGGACAACAATAATAGTATTAATAGTAATGATGAAGGTAACAGCACAATTATTGACAATGAAGAAGATGATGACAAAGATGTTGATGAAAGATCAGTAAAAAAAATTCAATCAGACAATAATAATCAAAAATGACTATAATAATGATAATTCTAATAAAATATTCTGGTGAATGAAAAGGAATAAAAAGAAAAACAACAAGAACCAGAAATAAGAAATAAGAAGTTTAGTTTGAATTTATTATTTACTATTTTTATTTCTTGTTTTGAATTGATTTTGTTGTTATTTACACTATTGGAAGAGAAAAACTCCAAAGTTAATGTAATTATTTATCTAAATTATATTTTTCCTATAAGATAAAATAAAATACACCAAAATCTTAAAATTAAAGTTATTAGTTGTTTAGTTCTTTCCTACGTCTACGAGATTTATCATTAATATTTCTATCATTGATATTATTAATATTATTGTTAATGTTAGTATCATCTTTATTACTACAAATTAGTTTTTTATAAATTAAAATAGGGATTGAAAATACAAAAATATTCAAAATTCTTGGTTTCTCGATTTCATTCTCATCCATAATAAATTGTTCGCCATCTTTAGTCAACAAGAAAACATTATCATAATCAACAATGAAATTCTTTTCATTAACAAAAATTTTTTTCCTGGTGTTTTGTTTTTTCATTCTTTTACCACAGGCGATTTCTCTCGATTCTTGTATATAATATCGTACACGTTGCTTGTCCCGATAATAGTTTATCCACGTGATAACATAATGAAACAATGATGATAGCATTAATAAAAATATTACTACGGTACCAAGTCCTGGTCTATGACGGTTATAATAATAGCCAGTACCACGCCATTTTGGTACTCCATTCTTTAGAAAAAAATTGTATCGTTCTCTTGACTCTGAATTACGCAAAATTGCACCTATTAAACCTAATCTAGAAAATCTTTCTTTGCTATCTTTATCAGGATTTTTATCCGGGCTAAATAATAATAAAATCGTTAAGTTTTTACATGTATTTATTATCATAATATACAAATAAACTTACTGTAAAGTTAAAGATAATTTACGATACGCTTTATTAATTTCTTTCTCGTTGGCTGTAGGTTCTACTCCGAGCCATGAATAAAAAGTTACATCTTCCCCTTCTGCATTTTCTAAATCGTCTACTAAATCAAATATTTCGTGATCCTCTGTTTTATTTTAGGATATAAAAAAATTTGAACTTATTGAATTTATTTTATTCCGTATTATATAGATATATATATTCTAATTTATTATAATAATGAACCTTGTCCCCAAGCTTTTATTAGCGAGATAAATATAAAAATCGAAAAAATTAAAAATGTGCAAAATTTAAATTTTTTCATTTTAAATTATTTTGAAGAAAAAAACCCCAAAAAATTATTTATATTTTTAATTTATATTTTTATATTTTTATGGCTGAAGAAGGAGATTCGACTGAAAAGAACAATTTTTACGTGTTATAAAATCGTTAGAGGATTTCGTAACACAGCCACCCAAAGTTTATCATGGTAAACGTACATTATAAATGATACACACCCTAAGCCCTTCACTGCTGCGATTTTTTTTAAAGAAAAACTGTCAAAGCTTATTAGAGCGTACCATATTAATATATAATGTTTTCTCCTTTTAAAGAGACAAATAAAAGTTAATTATAAAAAATGAATTGGAGAAATCACTGCAACGACGGGAGACCTATTAAGTAAAGTACACATGAGGATAGTCTGTATCAGTTCTTATGCCTTTCAACGTCCATTCTTTGAAGGTAATAAGTAGTCTTGTAACTCAAAATTGGTTCTTTTTCGACCTCATTTCATAAACTCTTATCTTAGGATTTAAAGATGTCACGAAAAGAATAAAACTAGAGGTTTTATTGAAAACATATATTATTTATCCATAATTCAAATATATTAATTAAATCTTTTTTAACGCGTTTTGGTTTTTCGACAATTCAATTAGTTTATATCAACAACACTCACTAACAGTACTTTTAAATTTTGATTAATGAGTTAATTTTAATTAGAAGAAAAGTCGGAAAAATAATCGTAATTATAATTAAACAAAATCACTAATTTTATTATTCTTTTTTTTTCAAATTCTATTTTTTTATAAAATAATCAAGCGGAAAATTAATTATTATTATTTGCAAAAATAAAAAAATACATTTCTATAAAAAATAATATATATTAATACAAAGAAAAAAAAATTAATTAATAATACAAAAAAAAATTTTAATTTTAATAAGGTTCATTTATTCGGTCAAGTATATCTTCTTCAAAATCGCTTTCTTTTTCTTCTTCCTCTTCTTCCTCCTCTTCCCCATCCCCATCATCACCTCCCTCGTCATCACCATCATCAATTTCATCATCATAACCTAAATTATTATTAGAATTAGAATTTTTGGGAGTAAGCTTGTTTATATTATCATTATTTGAAATTTGTTGTTTATCACCATTACCATCATCACCAATATCATCATCATCAACAATATCATCATCATCATCATCATTATCATCACTGTCAGTCATTAAAATATCCATTCTACCTGGCATATCAACATCACCTCCAATAAAAACTGTGTTCCTTTCTTTTGATTCTTTCCTTTTATGACCATTATTTTTCCTTTTACTATTATTGGCAGAATTTACAGATTTAGCAATAGATTTTGTAGAAGCATGTTTACTTAATGTTTCAAGAGTTCCAGGTGCAGAAGAAGAAAGTAAACCAATACTTTGTTGCGTTGATGATAATAATGATGCCGATAATAATGTCGATGATGATGATGATGTTAAATAACGTTGTTGAGAAGTAGTCGTTGTTGTTGTTGTTGTTATTGTAGCAGTATTACTACTACTAGATTTCTTTATACTACCTGCTAAATTTCTAATCATTCCTAAACTAGGTGAACTTGTCATAGCAACAGATTGACTTTTCGGCGATGAAGGAGTTGATGTGACAGTGTTGAATATTTCAGATGGTATTTCAACTTCTGGTAATGGTGGTTTCCAATAATTCCAATCATTATATACTGTGTCCCATTCTTTGCTATCAACATGTGGAAACATTTGGTCCACCAAATCTGTCAAATCGACATATCTACATACATAAACATATATAAGAAATAAATAATATTAATAGAAATAGAAATAATAATAATAGAAATAATAATAATAATTATTATTATTATTATTATATTTGCACATGAATATCTTACGTTGATTTGTATCCCGTCAATAATTCCAATTTCACTTCACCATTAAATCCTATTGTAAAAATTCGTGAAGATGGAATATCTACACTTCGGTAAGATAACGCATCCTAAACAAAAAACAATATACATTAATAAATAATATTAATTACAAGTATAATTAAATTTAATAATATTAATAAAATATTGCACACATACCGTTATCCTATTACCAAATCCAGCATAAAAAGGATTATGATCATCAAATAATTTTTTAACATCACGTAGACATGACATTTTAAAAACTTCTGGTTTTCGCATTATCACTTCTCTAATAATAAAAATATTTCGTTTTGTTAAAGTAAACCGTAATAACCTTAATAATCATGATCATAAATAATATGTAACTAATTAATTACCTATGAAAAGCGGTTAATAATCGATCTGGTGACATTATGACAGGACCATCTGGTAGTTGATATTTACCTTGTTCAACTTTTTGTAAATATCCTCTAGTATAACTTGCCTAAAATGATATGTACAAAGATATAAACATATACGCATATAAATTTATAAAATATTTATTTATATATTACCTGTCCTATTGCACGACTAGTTAAATATAAAATTTGATAACCATTTCTTCTTATATCACTGTATAATTTAGCAACACCAGAATGTGTCCAATCTTTGCCAATCATTGCAAATACATGACCAAGAGCATCGGATCTAAATATGTAAATATATGTTAATAATCATTTCTTCGATAAATCAATAATTCTAAATATTATTACTTTGTGATAGTTCCGTCAATATCTGAGATCACTATTTTAGTATCATAATCCCACAAAAAAATTCTAGCAGCACAAGTTGCTTTTCCTTTATAAGAAGCAACAGAAAATATAATAGTGTTCATCCCTTTTTTCAAATTAAGACTTTTCTAATAATAATAAAAATTTTATTTATTTTTTAAGGAATACGAATTTATAAAAACATATATATATCAAGCAAGACTTACTAATTGATCTGAAGTTAGACGTAAAGTTTTTGCATAAAACTTCTTTGATTTATTTTGATCCTAAACATTTAAGGTCCAAGTATATGTATATATGTATTATAATGTAGTTAATTTGAGAGTAAAAAGAATTCCCTAATTTTTTTATAAGATCAAAATTCAAAATTTAAATTGAAAATAAAAAAAAACCTTTTCAGTTTCTTGTATGGCTTTTTCTTTATCCCTAATATTATTTATTGGACGTTCTATACTTGAAGAACGACTCCACCATCTACTCCATTCCCTTAAACTATATCTCCGGCGATCAGGTTCTAATCTATTGTTAGCCAATGATGCCATTGTCGATTCTGGAAGTGGCTTCTTGAAAATCAAAAGTGAAGCAATTATTGGTGCAGCCGTAGACCAAGAATAATAACTAAAAATTTATGATAATTATAATATTTTTTTTTAAAAATTAAAATTAAGGAATACTCCATTCATTTATTTATCAATAATATAGTCGTATATTTACTTGTTGTTAAATTTGACAACTAGTGTTTTATCACTTAATATTTGAGGATTTTGAGAAAATTGTTCATAAGTAACTAAATTCTGACGAAATAATTCTGCATCAGTTTGCTTAAATAAAAAAATTTTTTTTTAAAAACCAAAGGGTATCTTAATTAGCTTTACCTAAACCCGAAACTAAAAAAAGAATAAAGATAATAAAATTAATACTAACTAGATCACTTCCAAAAGCATTTTTATTACACAACGACATCTCAAAGTGATATTTTTTCCCGTCAATTTCAAAACCTGAACTGTTTCCATCTTCATTTTCCCCTTTATCCCATTTTTTATCTTCAGCATCATCATCTTGCCAATGTTCAAATTTTTCTGATTTTCTTACAGGAAGTGTACCCCAGCCCCATGACCATTCTTCAGAATCTTTTGGTGGATTATTATGTTCATACTCTAATTCAGTATCACTCAAAGGACTAGTTTTATTATTCATCCTTCGTTCTAAACTAATAATAATATCGTCAATCGAATTGTTGTTATTAAAATTTTTATCTTAATTTTAAAAAAAATTTTTTTCCACATACGGTTTTTCTGGTTTTCGTGTCTCATCTAATTCAGTATCAGAAAATGGACCTTCTGGTTTCCCCCCTATATACAAATATATATAAATTGATAAAAGTTTTATTTTATTATTAAATAAAATAAAAATAAAAATTATTAGAAAAAAATTTGATAACATAAAAGAACGCACGAACAATTTTGATGGATCGAAGTGACGGATGAAGTTCTTTCTCGATTCCTTTTGCTGGCATTTTCATAGATTAAATGATTTTGATCATTCGGTAATTGATCAAAAATTTTCCCTAGATTTATGTTTTCTAAATTTTTGAATAGTAATAATTGACAAATATATTATTACCATTTTGTTTTTTTTTTGAATTAATAATTATAATTATGGATGATTATTTCCTCACCATTATTCTCATTTGAATTAATGTTTTTAATATTATCTTTATAAGTTTCTGATGCTGCATCATCATTCTTTTCATTTAAACTATTCGATTGATCCTTGTCATCCACATCTACATCCACATTATATTACATATATCATTATAATTATTTAATTATTAGCCAGACCAACCTCAGCCAATTAATCACCACTCTATTATTTATTATAATAAAAATCTACTTACTATCATCACCATCATCATCATAACCGCCATCATTACCGTTATTATCACCACCACCATCATCATCATTATCGTTCTCGTTCTCGTTCTCGTTCTCGTTCTGATTCTCGTTCTCATCATCATCATCATCTTTATTCCCAAACAGATGATCAAAGGGGCGGTCACCGCGGCCATTTATTGACTCATTAATTTTATCAGAAACTAAGTTTGTATTTAAATCATTATCATTATCAAATTTTAATTTCTGATCTAGATTACAGTTTGGATCGTATAATTCTTTTGAAAGATTTGATTCATCATTAACAGTGACGTCATCAGAAGTTGGAGTAACAGTGATGTTAGAATCGGTTAAAACTGAGTCACTACCATCACCACCAACCCCATAAATATAATCAATAGTTTCTGGTTCATCTACAACAACCGTGTTAAAATCTAGATAATAAAATTTCTCGATTAATTTATAATGATTATATAAATGTGTGTGTGTGTGTGTGTGTGTGTGTAATTCTCACCTTGATCTTTCTTTTTTGATGATAGGTCATTTGATGAACCACCACCCAAGTCTAAAAAATCCAATTCCTTTAAAATGTTATCAAGTCAACAATTAATTAATTGAGAAAATTTTAACAATAAATATTATAATCAAAAAACAAATAAATTAATAACTAATTACTTCTTCATTTGGAGATGATTGCGTAGGACCCACTAATGGAGAAGTTTGAAGTTCTTCTGGAACATTATTTTCAGTTTCAAATACAAAAAAGGCTTCACCAGCTTCACCAATTTTCATAGGAAAATCAACAACTTTACCATTAACTGTAATTTCAACCTTTAAATGACATTTTAAAGAAGTTTATTATTAAATATGCGAGTTTAGTAATGGTAATAATAATAAATCAAATATGTGAGTATCTATTTACTTTTTTTTCTTGTGGCATCAAAACTAAAAGTTTTCCAAATCTAACGTGAAATGGAGAACAAGCAAGCTCACCATTCGGTTTTTGCACAACAACTACATCAATCGCACCAGAAAGAGTCGCAGGATTGATTTCTCTGTAAAATTGATTTACT